CTTTCAGCAACACTATTCGCAATATCACGCGGTACCCTATCATACTTAAAGAACATTGGAGGTGCTACTTTTCCTCCTGCACTTGCTGTAACCAAAACAGTTAAGCATTCTTTTTCATCCGAATTCACTCGATTGATATACGTTTTTTGCCCTCTGCTTGCTAGTTTAACATTATACGCCCCCTAAAATCGTTCGTAGGAGAAAAATGCAAACTGTATACCAAAGAAGTGCTCTTACCTGTAAAACTCAATTCACTTGATCGAAAGAAGTTGATACAAATTTTATACAAAAGATTTACACGCGCAACTGACATTTAAAATCATCGGTCGCTACAAGCGTTGTGTATGAGAAAACGGTTAATTTTACAACAAAAATTCTATTAAACATTTTTGTTCAAAATTATCTCAACTACATTTCTTGTTGATTCTTGGACTCTTGGTAAATCGATCTTTTACATTTTTCCCCCTACGAAGGCGGTTTTAGGGGGAAGCCGGGCGGAAGGAGTGATAAACTTTTTTGCGTCTGTTTTGGGATCCAAAACATTTTCAGCAAAATTCAGCTTGTTTCATGATTTTAGCGGTTCAGGAGCATTTTCGACTCTGACGACTAAAGTAAAGATATTTTTGTTTTGTTTGTTTGTTTGAACATGTGGTCAAATTTACATTACTCAAATTAACTATTCCCTTTTGATTTCATATCGCTAATATTTTGATTTTCTGGTATTTCTTCTTCTTCGCGTGCCATATCAGAATTATCCGACGTTGGTGATTACCATTACGAAGGCTTCTCCATCTTCTGCAATATGGAATAATTGTGCTGCATTTGATATCGGAGTCAATTCACGAATTTTTCTCAACTAAGAAACCCATTTCCTTCCTACACTTCTACGACCCTCTATTTTGCCTTTAAGGATCAGTTGTAATATTTTATATCGAGTTCCCCTTACTATATGTCCCAGATAAGATATTTTTCTATGTTTAACAGTCTTTAGCAGTTCTCTATCTTTACTTCTTCATTAGTTTTCTTTGCTGTCCAAGGTATCTTCAGCATTCGTCTATGAACTCACATTTCCAATGCTTCAGTTTTTTCATGATCGATACTTTTAGCGTCCACACTTCTGCACTATATAAAAAGTACGGACCCAGTTTCTTGTATCTGCACCCAGAATAATAGCTTTCCATGCAGAACATGTATATTTGTCTTCTTCTTTATATATCCTAAACTAGTTTTTTATCTATATGTTTTTGGAGTTATTTTTTTCTTTTTAAAATATGCTTTTATAATTTGTCTATGTGTGTTCTGTTTATTTTTTGTTTATGTTCTATTCGAATTGTTTCTAAACATTTTTGGATCTAATCTATAACATAAATTAGTAAATAAATAATTTTTTTGGTAACAATAAAGCACTGAAAACTTTGTTTTCAAACTTCCACAAAATTTATTTTAACTATTATCACTACAGCTGTTTCGGCTGATTGCCTTTCTCAAGTGATCTATTTTTGGCATGCGGTTTACAATTTATAGTCTCTAATGAAATAGGTTGAGGAGGGGAGAACTGTTTGTCTCAAGTTGGTCATTCAGAATTATATCTGTGTTTTTTAATTTGTTGATTTCCATAGATTCTAACAAAGATAGCTTAGGCCTTTATTTTGAATGTGAAGTATTTTAAATTTGTCATTAAAAGAATGATTATGATCTAGAAGGTGAAGTGCGTATGTCGAATCTGTTTTCTATTATTGAAAGCCCTTTTATGTTCTGCTATTCGTTTATTAAAGTTTTTACCAGTTTGACCGATGTAAGTTTTTGAGGCAGTCGCCACATTGAAGTTTGTCACACACCACTATTTAAGTGTTTTTTATTTTGGCTCTTGTTATTTTTAATATATTTGCCTAGGTTGTTATTTGTTCGGAAAGCTGGTGTTATTCTTTTTGTTTTATGTGTTTGGCTACCGAACAAATAACAAACCTAGGCAAATAATATTAAAAATATAACAAGAGCCAAAATAAAAAACACTTAAATAGTGGTGTGTAACAAACTTCAATGTGGCGACTGCCCAAAAACTTACATCGGTCAAACTGGTAGAAACTTTAATAAACGAATAGCAAAACATAAAAGGGCTTTCAATAATAGAAAAAACAGATTCCACATACGCACTTCACCTTCTAGATCATAATCATTCTTTTAATGACAAATTTAGAATACTTCACATTCAAAATAAAGGCCTTAAGCTATCTTTGTTAGAATCTATGGTAGTCAACAAATTAAAAAACGCAGATATAATTCTGAATGACCAACTTGAGACAAACAGTTCTCCCCTCCTCAACCTATTTCATTAGAGACTAAAAATTGTAAAACGCATGCCAAAAATAGATCACTTGAGAAAGGCAAGTAGCCGAAACAGCTGTAGTGATAATAGTTAAAATAAATTTTGTGGAAGTTTGAAAACAAAAGTTTTCAGTGTTTTATTGTTACATAAAATGAATTTCCATCAAGTAACGGTCAAATCCATCAATCAAATTTTTTTGGACTTGCAAGAAAAAATCAAAATTTTCTCAAAGGAAAAATAAAGTATTAAAGCGAATAAAAAAAAACTAATGTTAAAACAATAATAAATATACGCATAGTATTTCATTGTAAATAACCGCAAATTTACAAACTGGGGTGTTAATGTAGAATAAAAAAATAATAAGGGGAATGTCATATTTGACTTCAAGATGCGTACGAAAGTACTCGGCACTCATTAATAAATTGATATCGAAGTAACATGTAAAATATTATATTTGACAGGAATACCGAATTTAAAGATAAAATGTAGTTTTAATCATTAAAAGGTATTATAGGCAAGAAACACCAAAAAATAAAATATAAGTGTATTTAATATGGAATTTTCTCTTAAAAAATCAAAGTCAAGTGTTAAAATATCCGTTAGAGATATTAGACAATAATAATAAGTCATTAAAATGTTGATATAATCGCAAAATATCCATCTAATATCATAGTCGCCAATTTTCTCCGCGAATCTCCGCGATCTAAATCACGACTGACACCCGATATCGACGAAAATTTTCACAAACTACTAGATCATCATCGCCGAACTACCTGTCTCTCTCCTCCTGTAGCGGCAATGTTACAATTAATCGCAGCCACCTATGAAAAACAATAAAAAACAATAGCAGGAGTGTTTAACACAACATCTTGATGACGGTCTCATCATGGGAGGCTGGACCCTGATGTTGGATGTCCACTCAACTGCTGCGGTTTAGTCTTAGTCAGACTGTTAACTTGCTAACAGGTCTGCCAATATTTGGTGTTTAGGTGAGAGAGAGTGATATCCTCATGTTCCGTCAAAATGACTTTATCTGTGCGATCCGGCGGTTGTGCGGGAAAGAGTATGTTCAAACGGTGCTATTTTTTATTTTGTAAGTATTTTTTAACTTCTCAAAATTATCACTTAGTACTATTGCATCACAAAACATAAATTATTATATATAAATATATTTTATTGACTTGCAAAACGGGTAAAAATATTTTCAAAAGTTGCAAAAATTTGTTGTCAAAAATGATTTTCAATTAAAAGAATTTTTTATGACTTTTCAATTATTGACTTATTGGTAATCAATATTACAGTAGTTATCTGCAAATAGATCAAATAATTTAAAAACTTTTCATATTTTCTATTGTTTTCTTTCTTTTTCCCGTTTATTTTTAATTTTACCATCCCTAAAATACATTGAAAATATGAATAGAGCTTATTTTCATATTTTACGTTTTTTGTTATTATTTGCATTTTTGTCACACTTAACAAAATGCTTTTCCTTTCTCTATTATTTTATTTCCTTTATTGTTCGCCGTTTTTCCACGCATCTTTTACCTTAATATTTTCTTTTTTTTAAGCTTTCTTTGTCTCGATTTTAGTTGAAATCAATTTTTGAAAGAAATATATTTCTCCTACTAGACTTTTCTCGATTTTATTCTCGTAATTTGTCAAATTTTAGTTAATATTGTGATAGTCATCGGTCTTTTCTATACAAGTGATCAATATTGGTTCATCTGACATACCTACGCAATAAAAATATCAATAAAAAAAATATTAAAACTTTGAAAAATAGAAAAATATAAAAAATATTAGTTTTTTAGTAATGACAGGGATTAAAAATAATAGATTTCCCTATAATTAAACTACCATTAAGTCATCCTTTAGTGACGAAGATATCTGATGTCAGTAATCGATTTTTAACTACTATTAGAACCGTCAAACTTTTGTTGACACGTCTGAAGCTTACTTGTATTTTACCGTTAGAAATACAATAACAAAAATTTGTGTCGAAATTTTTAGAAAGTTAGGAACAAAATAAATCATTCAATGACTTTAATGCCGAAAACATTTTGGTAATTTTCAAATAGTGGAAATGTTTCTAACGGGGCAAAAACACGCAAATTTTTGTTTACAAATAGGCAAACGTTTTGTTCTTCAATATTTTTAAACCCTATTTTAAATTAAATTTGTATTTCAATTTCAAAATCAAAATTTCTCTTTCGCTAAAATTAGTTCCCATCAATTTCATCTAAATATTTATTTATATGAATGTGTAGGATGATTAACCAATTAATTTCGTATCAGATAACTGTTTATAATAATAATTAATACCTAATAAAATATTAAGTTATTGCTAGTAACGAAAAAATGATGTCAATTATTTTTGTACAAGAATTAATTGCTGATTTGTGCTATTAATTTTTATAAAAATAGATTTCTTAGGTTGAGTGTCTTGATGATATTAGGCCTAAGTAAAAACCGTGGAAATAACAATGTTATATGTTAACAATAACCAATAGAAAATACATACTTATAAGTATAAAAAACTGCCATTGTCAGTAATGTATTCTGAGTTTTACGATTTATTGTTTTGTGTGTTTACATCAGCTGATGCTGTAATACACAACTTTAACAATAAATTTGCAACATTTTGTTATTTTTTTCAGTTCTTTTTTCAAGAATTATCTTCTTGTATTCACAGTTAATATTTTTAATAAAATGTTTAGTCTTTATAGTCCGATCGGACACGTTCCGAAATTTGTCTTCTTCGATCTGGAAGCCTTATAGTCAAAATAAATTATGTACCTATAGCACATTAATATTCCATTGAGACTCATGAATCACTTGCGTTACTAGAAGAACAGATACTAACTAACTATTGATTTAGTACTAATCCGTATTTTTTTTTCTTATTTTGTTTCTTCTGACTGATAGTATTCTTTTTTTTTCTCTTTCTAGTAATTTTTCTGTTTTGTTCCCAAACATTTCTAGACAGTGACCTTTTTAATTCCTTATTTCTTTAGTTGGTATCGCTTATATTGCGCGCTTTATATAATTTCAACAATATTCTTCTACTTCTAGTTCCATGACCGTTATCGATCGTTGGATATCATGTTGACTACCATATTCGCTATCGTGACTTTATTGACAGCAGCTTTAAATAACGATGTAGTTGATTTTCCATACCATTGCCTTGGATTTTTCAGCCATGATGTTCTTCTTCTACCAGGACCACGATTACCTTGGATCTTTCCCTGAATGATCAGAATGTAAAAGATCATATTTTTCAGGGTGTCTCATAATGTGACCGAAGTGATTACCAGCTTTGCGTTTCTTTATTATATTAACCAGTTGTGTTGTTTGATTCAGCCGTCTAAGGACCTCCTCATTTCTAACTCTGTCAACCCAGCTTATTTTAAGTAGTCGTTGTATACCACATATAAAAATCAAACGTGAATTACTACAACAAAAATCACTTTCTAAGTACAAGACTGAATAATTTTACACTTTATGTATTTAGTTTTTTCTATTGATATTTTGCTGCTAAATCTGTATTTTATATTCTACTGTTTTTATGTAATTACATTCATTCTGAAATACGGCAGATCTTATTGTTTGTCTTTTATATAGGCAGCTACTTTGGTGTTTATTTACTTTAGTAAAAAATGTCAATTACTATCAGAACTGACAGACGATGTCTTGTCTTAGATATATGAGTCAAAAGATTAAGATAACTTGGCGTCTTTCGCAAAACATGGGGGAATCTTGCTGTCTTTACTACTTGTCATTCGGCTTATACGATCGTTTTATTCTACTCTTCTGTTTCTTACCCAGTTGATGTTATCCACTTGCATTACGTCGTATCTCTGTACTCTAACTCTGTCCCTTAGTATCTTACCATCAAGTGTTTCATCTCTTTTGTTCTATAATGCACTTCTAGCTCTGTCCATAGTATCTTACCATTCAATTTTTCATCTCTGCTGTTTCTAACTACCTTTTTGTCCTTTCTTGGTCTTGTTCTCTAATTCCCAAAACCAATATATCAATTTGACTTGACACAATCTGCGAGCTTCACCTTTACACTCAAATGCTTGCAATATTCTGTAAACTGCATATATTCACAGACATTCCGATGTCAAAATACAACTTTGAGACAGAATTAAATATCATCAAGCAAATAGCAGTAAACAACAGATACAACAAACAAACAATTAATAAAATGTTAAATCAAAAACTACACAAGAAAGCTCTGAAATTAGTATTTCCACCACCAGAGAAAAAAACCCAGTAACCTTCTGCTCGATTACACATACAGGCAAAATATCAACAAAAAATAGCCAAACACATAAAAACGAAAGAAATAACACCAGCTTTTCGAACAAATAACAACCTAGGCAAAATGTATCAAAAGAACTAGAGCCAAAATAAAAAAACACTTACACAGTGGTGTGTACAAATTCAAATGTGGCGACTGCCCAAAAACATCGGTCAAACTGGTAGAATCTTTAATAAACGAATAGCAGAACATTAAAGGGCTTTCAATAATAGAAAAACAGATTATACCTACGCACTTCACCTTTTAGATCACAATCATTCTTTTAATGACGAATTTAAAATTCTTCACATTCAAAATAACGGCCTTAAGCTATCTAGGAAATCAACAAATTAAAAAACACAGATATAATTCTGAATGACCAACTTGAGACAAACAGTTCTCCCTCCTCAACCTATTTCATTAGAGACTATAAAGTGTAAACGCATGCCAAAAATAGATCACTTGAGAAAGGCAATCAGCCGAAACAGCTGTAGTGATAAGAGGTTAAAATAAATTTTGTGTAAGTTTGAAAAACAAAGTTTTCAGTGTTTTATTGTTACGTTATTAAATATTTTTAACGACCTGTTAAAATATGTTCACTTCATGTCTATATGTTTATATAAACCATTTATTATTCATTTTCATACATATATGTTTCAACATATTGGCTGCATACTTAGCTCTTAACACCGTTTTCAATTAGATTTTCCAGTGAGGATATTATTCTTTATATTTATATTTTTCCAGAATTAGAGGAAAAACGTTTATTTTTACTTTCTTCTGCATATTTATGTTCCGTAAGTATAAAACTTGAGGTAACGCTATCACCTGAGTCAAAACACGGGCTACTGTTAACATCTTGACTTGACGAAACTTGAGTAATAATAGAAATAACTGAAAAAGGCCGGGGTATTTTCAATTCATGTTTAACTACCTGAGATTGGAAAACTGCATTGTTATTGGGATCGTAAAAGAGATTCAGGTGTATACCTTTATACTTTGATAGAACGGAAATATTTATGGTAGCAAAATTATCTATCTTGTTATCAATAAGATTTTTACGGTTACCGCAGATTTTGAGGTAATAAAATCTGGCCGACAATTTACGCATTGGAATATTGTTTCTTTCAAAACAGATTTAATCCTCTCAAAGCGGATATTTTACCGTAGGTTATAATCCTTCGTTAAAAGTGGAATACAGTAATTGAAAGGAATGTTTTCTCGATTTTGGCATGTCTTAACAAGTCTTTGTAAGAATGTTGACATCGTTTATTGTATTTTGCGCAAATATCATTTTTGTTTTTCTTAATACATGTGTTACTTTAAGTGAATTTTAATTGAATCTCTTAATAAGTTTCGATCTTAGTTAATACTAATATTAAACCTCTTCACAGACGTGTCTTGTCTAACCATCCCTCACTAGATCTTCTTTGGTCTTCTCTCGTACTTTCGTACTGGTAATTTCATATTTTTGGGTCATTATCATTTTAACATTTAATATATTATATTGAACCATATTTACGTATTTTTCCTCACACATTTCCACAATATGCATTTAGGTCTTAATAATAGGCACTTTTACAGAATTTTCCTTTCAATTTCATTTCAATGTTTCTCTCTCACGTCACAACAAACCATTAACCTTTTTCAATTTTAGATATTTCGTTCCAGGTCCACTATTACTCTTCTTCTTCTTCTTCTGGTAGCACTACAACCCGGGGGTGGATCTTGGCTGACTGCACAACCTGCTTCCATCTCGAACGGTCGTCCATGATGTTTAAGTCAGTGGGGTAGCCCCATTTTTCTCAAATCTGACCATATATTATCTCTCCATCGCATTCGTGGACGTCCTAAGGGCCTTCTCCCTGTCGGGACTTCTTGCAGATTTTACTTGGTTAAGGCGGTTATTAGGGAGCCTATGAACATGGCCAGCCCATCTTAGACGTTGGGATTTATTCTCTTGGACTACGTCGCTAGCACTATACATTTGTTTGACCTCGGCATTTATTAAAAGCTATCATTATACTTGTCGAAGTAAGATTTAATGACACAACGAATGCTTCTTCTTCTTCTTCTTTATAAGGAATTATGCTTGTTATTGGTGGTTTGATACCTCTGTGGAAGGTTACCACTCCGTACTTCTTCCACCAATTGGTGATTTATTTATTGCTATTTTTACCACACGGGTCTACCATTCTGCTTATGTAGTTATTCAATTTTTTGCTATCTATTGTCTTAAGGTGTATCCATATCGTTAGTTACTACATCATCGCATAGCATTTTCTTCAATTCCGCAATGCTGACCTTCAGTTGGTTTCTCGATCTCCCAGCTTATTTCCTGTTTTTCTTCTCAGTAGTCTTTGCATTGTGGCAGTGTCAGGTCTTGTTTCTGATGCATATGTCAATCTTGGTCTTACACTGGTTGGATAAATTCTTGAATTTATCCATGTAAAATTACGTTACTAAGTACTGTCTTTCACTTCCAGATCTCCTTAGCTAGATAGTGTAATTATTCCAAGGTGACTCGACAGAACTGCTGCTGATATCAAGCCGGTATAACACGGATAGCCGGATAAGATCGGAAGGGGTTAGCTAGGTTAGCATCGTACAGATAGATTTTAAACCCTTACTGCTCATATAAACAAGATTATACCTTAAAACAGGAATTATTTTTTACAATACATTCGATAGAAAAATTTTTGATATATAAAAGGATTACCTAGTATTTAGAAATAGGTTTGTTGATTTATATAAATGTTATACTCCTTCAAAAATATGCTTTCTTTAATTGTCGTCCAGCTTTGTAAGTGACATTTTTATGGCATCGAATTTTCCAGTCTTATATTGTTATTTTTACTTTGCTACTATAAAAACGTTCTTACCTGCCACAACATTGATGTCTGCAAAACGAATTTGGTACTCGCTGGTTTAGATATATTTGAATAAAGCTTTCCAAATACAATTGTCTTAATGTCTTCAGCTTTCTCATATAATACAATACTAAACAGTTATTTTTTATTATAGATAACCACTGTACCTTCCTCCTGAGCGTAGCGGCGCTTTTATCAGGGGCAATGGCTGCTCCCAGAGGAAACCAATGGTGGACCAATCCGTGTGGTGTACAAACAGTTCAGCTTAGGCATGGTAGAAGTCCGGCTGAAAACCAACTTAGAATATTTATTAAACTCATAGACAATCCAGTATTCAAAGACTTGAAAGCAATATATCCCACTGTAAGTATATCTTTCATTTTGAGGTTGACAAAAATTACATGTAATAAAGCACGAATTAATTGCTGTTCAGGATTTCTACCTGAAACTTCAATTTCTTGATATAATCTTTACTAGATCGGAACTTACCTTGATTTAAGATAAACTCTAAATTTAATAATTTAACTTTGACGGTATACAAGGCAACTATCGAACACGGTGATTAATTTAATCTTGCCCAAGTACTTTCGATCAATAGATCATCTTCAGGGGCATTTCGTCAGTTGTGTCCTATCCGACATGAGTAGAATGTCATAAATGTAAAATTTGGACATAACAATACAAAATACAATACACAAAGACAAACAAACACTTTAACATTTTTTTGAAAAGGAGAGCTACATGTTGTATAGAAGCCGGAGACTGTCATTCTGTCTCCGGCTTCATTCTTTTCTAAGTGTTTTCATCTCTGCTGTTTCTAACATCCTTTTTGTCCTCTCTTTGTCAGGTCTTGTTTCTGCCGCGTATGTCATTATTGGTCCGATGAATCAAAGGATCAAATGGTAGACGAAAAATAAGAATATTACTGTTAATTGTTTGGACTTCTGAGTATAATTATATATACTTTGTGGGCCGTGTAGAGACAGATATTTAAATTAAATAAAAATATAATCTACAATGCATTTTAAATAAAGAAGCGTAAAGAGGAAATGAAAAAATATGAACGACGTTACCAAACACAATAGGGATAATTAATCAAAAGTCAAATATTATGACAGGGAGTTATGACATTTCTACATTGTCAATATTAAAAATACAGGTATATAAACTTCGATAAAGGGAATGTTTCGTTACATTTAAAAAAGCTGCGTTGGAATATGAATCAAAAATTGATTTTTAAATAATAGGTCAGAATGAAAAGAATGGTAGAAGATTTAAATGATCCTAGAATGTTAATGTTTGCAAAAAAAGCTCAAACTGATTATTTGTAAGATTCAATCACCTTTGATGTAAAAAATTAAAATTAACAACCTAATTTTTAATTCCTCAATTTTCATTGCAAATAAATATATATTCGCTATTAACCTAAACCATTATTAAAATATATTAAACAATTTAAAAACTTTTTTAAATCTTGGAACGGGTATCAGCAATAATTGTCTTTTAACAATTGAATAAGATCAGCACAACTTTTTATGTAGAATGTTCATCTATCTACTTCAGATGCTGTTGATTTTGATATGCTCAGGTATTCTAGGAAGCCCAGCGATTAGCTGTTCCCTGAAACTTTACCGACCTGTATTAATTAAGGTTAAATTCCTTTTATTGCCGTCATTACAACTATCATTATTGCGGTATTTGCTAGAAAAGATTATTGAAAGTAATTTTCTTTACAGAGCAGAAAAAGTTTATCGGCGGTTTATGTTAGTTTTGTTGTTATAAAAGAGTCCATCGGTTAAAATGTTGATACAATTAAGGTTTTTTTTAATTGAACAATGATTTACAGTAGTATCAAAAATTAACTGAAAAAAGTTTGTCAAGAATATTTTTCATTTATTTGTCTTATTGAATACTTAAAATATGGCAGCCCAGTTGTTCCTGTATAATTTGTTGTGCTGTCAATCTGACAGTTTCGCTGCAGATTTGTTTGCAAATCTTTTCTCAATCTAAATTTCAAACGAGCAACTAAAACTGACAATTATAGTGTATAAGACAGCTATCTATGAGTTTTTGTATGTTGTGTAGATATTTCAACCATTTTACCAAACAAGGACCATTGATTATAAACCACCACCAGGTAGTGGTTTATAATCAATGCAAGGACATAACAGATCTGCTCAATACTTCTTCAAACCTTTTATTATTTTATAAATATCTACGAATGTCCGAAATAAACTTTTTGTATTTAGGTTTCGACAGCAAAATGATTAATTAAGTTGCTTATAAAACGTGTAATTTTTTATTTGAATTAAAACATGCCAATTACTGTATAAATAAAAGTAATAACCAAAGTTCTATTATTTTTCAGGTTGCTACAAATTATGCCAATAGAAATTGTCCCAGAGTTAATCCTGTACTGCAAAAGATGAACAACGCTAATCTATCTCTGGTAGGTTGATATTATTTATCAGTTATCTGAAATATTTATTTATTAGCAAATATATTTTTTATGATTTCGAGAAAAAAATCTTTGGATTGTTTTTCTTCTAGTGCCGACTCCACTACTGAAAGTTAGCTATTACTATTGCAAATATATCTATCTCTATCTTCGACGTAGTTTTCGTTCGATTTTACCCTTCTTTATCAGTTGCAACAATTCGTAGTAATAATTTCTAAGTATGTGGTCTAAATATGCAGTCTTTCTCTTTTTAATGGCGATCGAAAGTTCTTTGTCTCTTTGTATTCTGTGGAAAAGCATTTTGTTTGTAATATGATCTGTTCGTGTATTTGTAAAAGTCTCCTTAAAAGCCACATCTGAAAAGCTTCCAGCTTTCTCATTACGTCAACAATAACAGTCCAAGCTTTGGCGGTATCTATATAAGAAGAGTAGAGTGGATTTAACATTTAACATTTAACCACCTGATATCAGATTTGAGTCTTTGGTTACTCAGAATTTTTCTCATCTTAAAAATGGCTGCGTTTGGTTGCGCTATTCTTGATTAAATTTCTGATTCTACAATTAGAGCTTCAGAAATCCAGAATCCTAAGTATTTCATTTTGTCTTTTTATTCAATATCTTCATTTTTTATCTGGTTCTTATGACGTTAGACCTCTTACCTCTTACTATTATTGTCACCTTATTATTTGACACCATGTCAAATGCCTCAAAAAATATGGGCCTGCAAGTAAATGAGGAGAAAACTAAGATAATGGCATCAACATCCAACAATAAAGCCAGAAACATCGGCCACTGATTCACTGTTGATAACTCTACCTTTGAAGTGGTAGACAAATTCACATACTTAGGCTTCCTGATCACCACGAAGAACGTCATGACGGAAGAAATCAAGCGAAGAATAATCCTAGCAAACAAATGCTATTTTGGATTGAGTAGACATATATGAAGCAGAAACTTAAGCCAAAAAACAAAAATAACCATATACAAAACCATTATACAACCAGTGTCGACATATGGATCGGAGACAGAGGAAAGGCGGATGAAAACCTCCAGCTTATATTTAAACAAAGGATCCTGGGAAGAATATTCGGTGGCATCTGTGAAAATGGTGTTTGGAGAAGGAGATACAACTACGAGATATATCACAGATATAAATATATATTTGGTGGTAAAGACGTAGTATCTCTTATAAAAATACGAATACTAAGATGGGCAGGACATCTGGCCAGATCACAGCAGAATAATCCTCCTAGAAGAATCCTTATGTCACTACCTGTGAGAAGTAGAAGTTGGGGTAGGCCAAAACTCAGATGGAGTGATGGTGTAGATGAGGATGGTAGAAAAATAGGGCAGCAAACTGGAACAGTTGGCAATGGATAGAACCGACCGGCGTAATAGACTTGGAAGGTCCAGGCTCTTTTAAATATTAAATAGTAATGTCAAAATTACACATCTTTGTGTCACTCCTCTTTGCTTATATGTTGCGTAGCGTTATTTCCATCTAATGTTACCACAATTAGTCCCAATATATATATATTTCTCACTACGTTAATGTCATTTTTATGGAGTCCTTTTTGACTTTAGACATGCTATAAAAATGTTATGCTTAATTTAGTCGAAAGCTTTCTGAAGAAGTTATTTTTGTTGGTCTCGACATTTTTGAGCAAGACTTTTAAACCTGTATAGAGCTTCACTTGAATAGATGAATGTATCATATTTCAAATTCAATATTTGTGCTAATAAACTGATTAAATATATAGTCATTACAGTTTTTGAGATTCTCCTCTTAATCCTTAATATTTGGAAGTTTCTAAAACAGTATGTAGTGGGAAAATACTGTTAATCAATATAAATTTTTAAAAGTTTATATTGTTTTTCTTTGTCAATAAGTTCTTGAAATATTTATTAGTGATTTTAAGACAGTACTTTTTATTTTAAATGTCTTATGCCTATATCTAATGTTTTTTTTTGTTACAGGCTACTCACATATTTTATGAGAGTATGATAGAGATGGCCAAGCTAATCCAAAAGGTTCAGAAGCTGCCAGTAGGAACAGCAATAAAGTTCGATGCTGTCGAAAGAAAACGAATATACAAGGAAGTGGAAGTCAACTTGAAGAGCGTCATGTGCGAATTCAGCGACAGGTTACCTAAGTTGGAGCCGGTGGAACACAAGACTGTGCCAAGCAGATTTATCAGGCGAAATCTTTCTGGTAAATGTTTGCCAAAACAAATGAATCTTACCGAAGCTCAAATCGTAGATATGGATCTCTTTAAGAAAATGAAAAAGTTCTTTAGACAAAGTAAAATTATTCTAAGGAGAAAGGCACGAGCTAATAATCGGAGACCCCAATTAAGGAAGAAGAACTTAAACACACGGCGATTGGGTAAAAAAAGAATCGCGAATAAAAAAAGAACTATGAAACAAAAAAAATCTAGTGCTGCCGCTTAAAAGTGTCCTTAAAACACCCTAGTGAATTGTTATTTTAATACGCGTCTGTGATATAGTATAAGTATTTATTTATTTATTTTTATATTTATAAGTAGTCGACAACGTCAATACGCTTAAAACTCGATATGTGAAAAAATATTTTCATCGAATTATTTTAAAGCCCAGCTTACTCAACTTTATTGTACGATACACATAAAGATTTACACATAAATTAGTCTTGTACAGTAAAAATATATGTTTTTAAAGCGGATTCCCACCGGTGGTGCTATTCTGCTCCGCGCAGTTTTCCGCAAAGCAGCGCGTAGCAGAACTACACACGCCCGCTCAAGTTTGCGCGTCTGGTTTACAGAGGACCACATAAGTTTCAGTTTTTATTTACGGGCGTACGATGGAAACAAAATAAGCCCATTACCTGTGCCTATTGACTTTTTCATTTTTTCTCTTCTATGTGAAGACGTCATCTTTGTTTTATCATTACCTACGGAGCAATCAATATTGTCAGCAATTAATACGCATGCTTCATGATTTTAATATATATAATAGTTATATCTTCCCGGATAAAACAATTCTGATTTGTTAAAGATAGGACAAAACACAATAACTCAGCTTGCACACAATAACTCAACAGAACTTGCATGGCTCAGCTGAATTTATTATATTAACGCTCAAACCCGTGCCGCGCACCAACGAATTAAACGAACTACACAGCGCGGCAGCCTTTATACGTATTGTAGAGTAATTCTCGAATTGGAATATCAGTTTTTACTTTTTTAAAGTAAAATTGAGTACTTTTTAGAGCAATGTTTTTTTTTACTCAAACACCTTTAATTTTACAAACTTGTTTTTTTTATACAATGTTATTTAAACTGGAACTACCTTTACAATTCAAACTCCTAAACTGTCAGTAGTATTTATCCTAAAATAGTGCAGGTTGCTCTTTTTGATAGTTGTCAAAGTAGCAGAGCATGTGTAAGGCTCTAACCGACTATTCGTATATCGCAGGTCAAGTTATAGTGTGTTTATAGCTTTAAAATTTGAATAATTTTACAATTATAACCTGTCTTTAGTAATAGCCGTTAAGCGTTTTGAATCATGACAAATAATGACGCCTATATTTAAAATTTATTTGAACAATTATTATTGATCATACTTATGAAAAGGGTTTCTAGGTGTAAACAGATTTAAAAATCAAAGCCGTAAATAGATACCTTGACTTGTACAACTATACCTACTTAGGTTTTCATGATCGATACTTATTTATACAAACTGAACTGTTCTCGCAATTTAGTTACAAAAAAAAAAGTTTACCAAAATAAGCTCGAAGGTAAACTCATATATTTTTGCTGTACTATACTACTTGTACATTATACTAAAAATAGCAATAAGGTATAGAGCGATCTGGGCTAAAACTTCTTGTATTATTTTTGAATAAACCAATGGCTGGATAATCGTTGGTATTGTATTATATATTGTGATATATGAACAAAAAGTATTAGATTTGTATCTATAAGAGCCTGATTTTTGTAATTATTCGAAATATATTTTTCTGTGGCATCTCAGATTTGAATTTTTCTTTGGGAATCAAGTAATAAAAATTATTGCAATTTTTAACATTTAAAAGCTTAAGCCAAAAGTTACTGTTGAATACAAAACTTTTTATTTTAAAATCGATTTGGAAGTCAAAATATTAAAGATACTTATATCAATATTTACAATTAATTAACTATCCCCAAAGAAATAATTGAATCTCTATCTTTCGTAGTATTTATAAAAGTTGAATAAACACTGTTTGAATAAAAAGTCAGTCTCTTAATTTTTTTTATAGACACAGTGGGCATTAAACTTTGTACATTCTCTCTTTGTAAAAATTTTTGCCAACTTTACTATGTTAGTTCATTTTATCATTCCATTATTATTTATTGTTTATTTATTTTCATGTTCATATTACGTGCCTTATTTATTTTTTTAACTACTCCTCATTGGAATAATATTTTGTACTCTTAATTTATTTTTATTTATTTCCTTTTGTATCTTGCCTCATGTGATAAAATTTGTAAATATATTAATTTTTAAAATATTGTGTTTTACTTCCTATAAAATCCTATTACAGAAATTGAACTCTAAGAAAATAACATGATGGATACAACATCATGTAGCGCAATAAATGTTTAATTTTCTAGAACTGATTGGAGAACGAGGGCTAGAATTTAATTTTTACCAATTAAATATAAAGAATATTTAGTAATATCTACACATTTTTCATACTGTGTTTCGCTTTCCTAAGACCATCAAGGAATATACTCGTTGCGGTACCCTCTAGGAATTACTGGTTTTACTGCAGTCGTTACTATTTCCGTCAATCTTAGTACCGTAAAACGGGGTTACATTGAACCCGAGGGTTACAGTGAACAGTTTTGCAATAAAGATTAATATTTTTCTACAAGTTGGCCTAAACTTTTTTTTTTGGGCCAATATATTTTTTTTGAGGGTTGCAAAATATGTTTTTCTTGGACTTCCTGATAAAATTTCTGGCAAGTTCTCAAAATTAACAAAAATGAAGTAAAAAAATGGTTTCTGAAATAAAAGGTAGTAAAAAAAATCTCTCAAACTTTGGTCTGCAGCCGGCGATATACAAAAGATATCTTCTCATGACTAATTTTACACGATCCTAGTACCTATTTGAACCTTATTCTACATAATACCGTAAATGATTAGGGTTTTGAATATTTTTAATTAATTTATACAAAAAATATGTCAAGTATTTTGGGAACGTGGGGTAAATATTGAACGGCAGGATTGAACGTGCTTGGGCGGCGTCAATCGAGTTCCATCTAAATATTATTGTCTGGCGTTACGCTACCTTGTTTTGAATCATTTGAATGAAATTCACTCAGCTCAGAGCAGAGCTCAGTATAACCATTGGTTGGCTTGGCGGTAGAAACATTGTGTGGTTAGGAAATTCAGTTGTGATGCTAATAGGTAGTGTAGTGCGATAATCTCAGTCCAAAATGCGTGATTACGTTAGAAAGTTGGGTAGTCGATCATACAAAAATTACACCTCTGAATACTTTGGATCAAGCAATCCGCGAAATTAAAACAAAACAGTTATCACTTTCCAAGGCGTTGAAGAAATACAAAATCCCAAAAGGAATATTAAGTCACAAACTGAACAACAAAAAAATGAAGGACGTCGAAAGGCCCACAGTTTTAAACAACGACGAAGAAAAGGCACTGGTCAAGATGCTTTTGAAAAACCGCTGAATAGGGGCTTTCCTTTGACTCACGACGATTTACGACATGTTATGAAAAGCCATTTGGATACAATGGGTAAGAGAGTTAAGCAGTTTAAAAATAATTTGCCTGGTATCGACTGGATTAAAGGTTTTCTGAAAAGAAACAGAGAAATAAGTGTAAGAAAATCTCAAAATATAAACCCAAATAGAGCATCTTCCACTAGAGAAGTTTTCATTGCTTATTTTGATAACCTTGAGCAATGTCTAGACGGAGTTTCCCCCCGATTGTATATACAATTTCGATGAGACAAATTTATCGGATAATCCTGGGTCTGCAAGATGCTTTTTTAAAAGAGGGGTGAAAATACCCAGAACGTTTATTATCTCAATCAAAATCAAACATTTCTTTGATGTTTTGTGGAAGCGCTTCAGGAGTTCTGCTGCCTCTGTATGTAGTCTACAAAGCAGAAAACCTTTTTACAACTTGGACGGAAGGAGGAACCGATAAAACCAGATACAACCGAACAGCTCATGGATGGTTCGATTCTGCAAAATTTTTTAAATTGGTTTACTTTTGTTTTCCTTTATTTCCACGAGACATGAAGAAGGAGTCAAAGTATTAATCGGGGATAATTTGGCGAGCCATTTTTCTGAGCAAATTATCAGACTGTCGGTTGAAAATAATATTCGATTCATATGTTTACCGCCGAATACTACGCATATCGCTCAACCCCTGGATGTCGCGGTGTTCGCACCACTGAAGAAACAATGGCGTGCAATACCCAGCGATTATAAGTTAGCAACGGGATCGAACTGGTCTTCCAAAGGAGATGTTTCCAAAACTTTTAAAAAAGCTGATGTTAAAATTCGCAGAAACTGGTGAACAAAACCTTCAAAGTAGCTTTCGGGCAACGGGTATATACCCTTTAGACAGAAATCAAATATTAAAGAAATTGCCTGGGTACCGATGATACTGAATCAAATAAAAGTTATGGAAACAGTTTTAAACGACACAGTTTTACAATTTCTACAGGGTATTAGGAACGAAAAGAGAGCTAGAACTCAAAGAAAAAAAAAATAACATCGCACCGGGTAAAAGCATTGGATTGGAAGATTTTGAAATAGGAGAAAGTTCTGGATGTTCTGTACCACCCACGAAGAATAAGAAAAAGTCTGCGAAGGAATTGGATAGTGACAGTTCCAACTACGAACTAGAGCTTCAGGACGAATTAATTGTGATTTCGAGACATTTTGTGATGAAATGCACCAAGAAAAGAACGAGGAGATCAAAAGGCCAACAGGGGCTGCAGTCGTCGACGATTATGTGCTCGTGAGATTCGCAACCAAAAAGATCTTGAAATTTTTCGTTGGTCTTATAAAAGAAAAACTGCCTGATGGAGATTATGTAGTCAAGTTCCTGAGAATTGCGAAGAATTCCGCCTTCTATTGGCCAGAGGTCAATTTTTCAGTGCATTTTGCATTATACCAAAATTGATTGTTGATTTATTTCAGATAGACGACATTTCAGTCGTAAGTTCTTCAGATTTTGAGAGACTTCTACCAGCTCCAGCTGAAGACCGCCGCAGAAAAGTGGTTTTTTTCGATCCAATTTGATGGGTATACTCTGGGCTAAAATCCTTCTAAAGACTGTCGTTTATACGTTTCCCTTATGTTTTGTCATTTGACTTGAAAATTACAAATTTTTTTAGTTTAAAATATGATTTTATAAGACTATGTAAAAGAATTTAAAGTTTAATAAAAAAGAAT